TTCAATAAATATCAGAACAGTTACATTTTTAAATATATCGATATATTTATATATAACAGTGGGCTGTTAAATTTGTGGGAACGGAGTAATCGAATTGCAGAGAATACGAATCCGGGTTCAAGTACGTAGAACAACCCTGAGTCCACCCAGCTGTGGTGGGTACCTGACAAACGCTAGAGATAGTAAAGACGACTGGTCATAGTACTGACCACACTATCGCTTTTTGTGTCGTGGTCACAGAAACAAGGGGACGGAGAAGTCGAATGGTAGAGCCTACGACCGCGAACCCCCGAAAGTCGCCATTTCGAATCCGGGCTTAAGTACGTAGAACGTCCCTGAGTCCACCCAGCTCTGATGATGGGGGTACCTAGCTGACGTTAGCCCCGTGGACCGTTTTACTTTTTTATCTGTTTTATGTGACTTCGGCATCAGATTTTCTACCGCCCCCCCCCCCCTCAAACAAAATGGAATTTATATAGAAATTATATATTTTTACCAGTGTCCGCCCCCCCCCCCCCCCCAGGAGAAAAAGAGAGAAAAAAAAAGCCTGAAAGAAACACTGTTCGGCATACGAAGGGGTAGTTTTTGGTCAGCACTATGCCCAGCCGAATCGACTTTACCTAACGTGAGCTAGGTCCTACCTATCAGAACTGGGTGAACTCGAGGTCTTACGGGCTCGATGCCTAAAGTCACATGCACTAAAGCTACCATATCTTCTCAGGGGTTTTTCACATTTTATTGGATGGGAGAACGGGGGGGGGGGGGGGGGGCTTAACTAAATCCAGTTTCTGAAAGATGGCCGATTTTCACACTAAAGATTACGTCATAGGATCAAGTAAAAAGGGGAAACGAACATCATACGAATCGTATATGCCGGACTTTGTTTTTTTTTTAAATTATCAATTAATGCAAGAGTGGGGATGGATGGGTGGGGAGACGACGTGCATTGGAAATTCTTGAATAAATTGCCTTCTCTGGTTACTTTACATACTGCATTGTTGTGACCGTTATAGTTGGTCTACCTGCTAATTGTAATTGGGTCTTTTAAAACATCACTCAAAAAAGGCGATCATCTATTATTGATGAACAAAGAAAATTTAAATTTTAGAACATAACCCGTTCTCTCTTCCGTTATCCCTCTCTCTCTCTCTCTCTCTGTCTCTCTCTTTCTCTCTCTCTCCCTCTTTCTCCACGCGTCCAAAAAAAGTAAAATTTTGTTTAGATACCCCTTTCCTCCCTTCGTAAAGACGTCACAAATTAAAGACCCCCCCCCCCCACACCACCCACCCCACCCCATTATAACCGTCAGCGAATTTTTTCTCTCCCCTCCAGCGGTGGGTGCCCCGACAAACAGAACGAACGTTGATTGCAGTTTCATAAGCTAATTAATGAGTCGGCCCGCGAGATACGGACAGCTATTTTTGGACGCGCTTCACGTGCTGTGGGAGATGACTACAGAAATAGCCTTACATTATTGTTGTCGAGGGTTTCAAAGATTGCTGAGTGTACAATGATTGTGTAGCTTCTCAATGATTGTTAAGTGGGAAAATGATTATTTAGGGTTTTCAGTGATTGTTTACTGGCAGAGTTTCTTCCAGGCATCTCTTCCGGGGGGGGGGGGGCACCGCCCCAGAAGAAAGTCAAACCCCCCCCCCCCCCCCCCGAACGAAATGGAATTTATATAGAAAATATATACTTTTGACAGTGTCCGCCCCCCGGAAATTTTTGTCCGCACCCCCCCCCCCGAAAATTTCAAGTGCACCCCCGGAGAAAAAAGTCTGGAAGAGACACTGTTTACTGGCCAAATGATTGCAAAGCGTCTCAAGAGTTGTTGATTGTTGACTATTTCGAAGATAGTTGAAAATCTCAAAGCTACGTTTTTATTGTTCTTAAAACTTATTTTAAATTCAATTTTTTCCATATATGAAATACAAAAAAAAAATGAAAATAAATTACCAAGCTGTCTATAAAGTCATAGGACATTGGGTTTTAAAAAAAATTATCGTTTAAATGAAAATAAATTACAAATCAACTAATGACGTCGAACCACGTTGGAGCAAAATAATATCGTCAAAATGAAAATATATTTGATGGTCTTCTCATTTTACTCTCTCCAACCCCCCCCCCCCCCCCCAAAAAAAATAATTTCATTAACATTAATACACCTCTAGAATCAGCGACATTGTCATGACATTATGACCTCTAGCTTTAAAGCTGGATTCGCTTGTAAAACATGAAAAAGATTTCGCGAGCGGCGGTCTTTAAATGTCGAATGCTGTTCGTGTGATTAATGCCTTTGTTTCGGTTAATACCAGCGAGAGAGAGAAAAAAAAATAATAAAAATAAAAGATGGCGGTGTGGGCCCACCTTCTGCTTTTAACGCGAGAAGAGTTATCGGCCGTAACGCGAGAGCTGAGTTGATGAACTTGAACCAAAGGCCGGGCGAGGCGAACACCAACAAAACGAGGCTTGTACCGTGTCTCGCGCGGCGTGAAAGCACAAACAAGTCGTTTATCGTCCGCTCACTAAACAGACGTTCTAGCTTTTTTTTTTATTACTAAACAAAAAAAAAAAAAAAAAAAAAAAAAAAAAAAAAAAAAAAAAAAAAGACAAATAATGTTCCGCGGCAGTTTCGGACATGGCGTAACTAAAGTAGCTGTCATGGTGGCAGGGAACATATGGCAGGGAACTTGGTTCCTTTGGGAGGTAGGGGGGGGGGGGGAATGTTTGTGGATACAGGGTTCTACACATACACTCGGTAGAGCTCAGTCTCCCAGAGTTCCAGGCGTCGGATCTAAAAACCAACAGGGTGTTATGTCAAAATAATTGTTCTAGAGGAACAAACAGGGAGGGCTTGTAGAGCTTAGGTGATGAGGGGGGGGGGGGGTGGAGAAGAGAAGGGTGGAAAAGTTAAATAAATGAGCTGGTCATTTGTTGGTTGTAAGAGAACGCATGGACAGCATGGAAAAGATGTGAATCAACCCTCCCCCCCCCCCTTAAAAAAAATATTGAGCAAAAAAGTGTATAATGTATGCAAAGACAAATAAATCTGAAACACGTTGTCTTTCTTCAACTTCCCCCTTCCATACTCCCGTCTATTGGAGAGAAATGTGTGCTTATATACCTTTTTGTGTGTTTTGTCTTTTGTAGATATAGAACAAAGCATTCTCTACACTCTCTACGGTAGCGATATTTTTGGTCAACTTGACAGGAAGTTTTAACTATAGCAGCAACAAATTCTCCAAAGCAACAACACCCTTATACTAACAAGATTTCTCAACAGCACCAAGATCTCTATTGCACCAAAACTTGTCCAAAATACCAAGTCATCTATAATTCAAAGCATCAAGAACTCCATACCACCAAGACTTCTCTATAGAACCAAGACTTCTCTATAGCACCAAGACTTCTCTATAGCACCAAGATTTCTCTATAGCACCAAGACTTCTCTATAGCACCAAGACTTCTCTATAGAACCAAGACTTCTCTTAGGCACCAAGAACTTTATAGCACCAAGACTTCTCTATAGCACCAAGACTTCTCTATAGCACCAAGACTTCTCTATAGCACCAAGACTTCTCTATAGCACCAAGACTTCTCTATAGCACCAAGACTTCTCTATAGCACCAAGGCTTCTCTTAGGCACCAAGAACTCCATAGCACCAAGACGTCTCCATAGCACCAAGACTTCTCTATAGCACCAAGACTTCTCTATAGCACCAAGACCTCTATAGCACCAAGATTTCTCTATAGCACCAAGATTTCTCTTAAGCACCAAGACTTCTCTATAGCACAAAGACTTCTCTATAGCACCAAGATTTCTCTATAGCACCAAGACTTCTCTTAGGCACCAAGAACTTTATAGCACCAAGACTTCTCTATAGCACCAAGACTTCTCTATAGCACCAAGACTTCTCTATAGCACCAAGACTTCTCTATAGCACCAAGACTTCTCTAATCTAAAGCACCAAGGACTCTATAGCACCAAGCTATTATTTAGACAATGAAAGTAAAATATTAAAAGACGTGTGGAGCATGGACCAAACACATCCGAATGGTAATCGTATGGATCCACAAGGGACATAACTAATTTAATTCTAACAGTACGATGGTTAGGTTATTATTTCCCTTTTTGAAAAATCATGTTTTTCATTAAAATAAATGTCTCCTCTAGGAAAATCAATTGAGCCATTATAGCCTATATATACTTTTGTTTATACAATAAATGTACACATATTTCTTTATTTATATGTGCATGTGTGTGTGCGCATGTGCAGCAGGGACTGTGAATAACATAAGTTATGATTGAAAAGTCTAAAACCACATATAAAAATGTATCACATTTAATACTTGAATTATAAAAAAAACACAACATAAACAGTAAAGTAACCGCAGCAACAGGTCACTAACAATAACAACTATCCAGCATCACAAGAGAGGTTGTAGACAAACTCTACTTCATCTGCCATTAAAATTTACATGCAATAAAATGTAACGTGGTACACTGTGGTTTGGCGTTTGTAAACCAACCCAAGCGTCCAGTTTGGACCAAGATTTATATACCACCAAAATATCTATAGGACATATCACTTCACCATCCCAAGATCTCTATAGCAAAAAGACAGCTATAAAACCAATTCTTCTCCAACCCAAGTATCAAGTTAATATGCATATATATATATATATATATATATATATATATATATATATATATATATATATATATATATATATATATATATATATATATATATATATATATATATATATGCCAAGGTCAGATGACTAACTGAAATCTACTTCATCTCACCCACAGACCATCTGATAGTAACTTCTTTAAAATGTAATGTATAAAATTAGTTATTTTCAATAAAAACATAATTATGCAAATGGCAAGAGAATAAAGACAAGACTGCTCATAAATATAAAATTATATATATATATATATATATATATATATATATATATATATATATATATATATATATATATATACTGGCACAAAATAGCATGTAATCAACAACAAATATACAGGTAATTGATGCTTTACAAATTAATTTTACAAAAGCACCTCTGGAAAGAATTGAATGAAAGAGCATTTGTTAGAAACTTGAGCTTATCACCAACATTATATTTTTCATGAAACATGTATTTAAAGTTGTTTACAATCATACAAATTTTGTTTTGATTGTTCAATCAAATGCAGTTTTACCATTTACCATTTGAGTTAAAAATATAAAACTGTTAAAAATTTTTAGATCACAAAGAAGGATATGTACAAATTGAGTTCAACTATAAATATTGTTTTAGTAAAAGACTCAAATGTAACTTTTTTACGCAAATAACTTTTCATATAGAGATCAGGAGGGACTGAAAGCGTTCAGTTCTAATCACAGTCAAACTATGACTGCAAGATTCTACTGAGATTCAGTGGAGGACTTCAACTTCATCTGCCAGATAAACCATCAGTCCCCTGCTTAAATTAGTGGACCCTTTAGTCCCTTGATTAAGTTAGTTCATCTTCAGTCCCCTGCTTAAGTTAGTTCCCCTTCAGTCCCTTGTTTAAGTTAGTTCCCCTTTAGTCCCTTGATAAGTTAGTTCCCCTTCAGTCCCCAGCTTAAGTTAGTTCCCCTTCAGTCCCTTGATTGAGTTAGTGTCCTTCAGTCCCCTGCTTAAGTTAGTTCCCCTTCAGCCCCCTGATTGAGTTAGTGCCCTTCAGTCCCTTGAAGAGTTAGTGTCCTTCAGTCCCCAGGAATGTACAGTTAGTAATACAATCTACCACTACATAATCACTAGATCCCCTTCACCAACAAAACAGATAAACTCTGCTTCATCTACCCTTTTGAACAAAGTCCTCTTTACACAAGTTTTTATTTATTACTTTGTTGACATAACTAATTTTATTCGAATTAAGTCCAGTTTTATCCTTTAATTAATCATAACTTACTAAGCCGTCTATGTAATGTATTTTACTATTCTACAAATAAGAGATCATATTTATGCACTAAAATAAATTCAATTAGATAAAAATATTTAAACATAAACCCTCTATAAAGATAAACCATAACAATAACATTGTCACCTGCTACAGCTAATCGTATTCAAAATGGTGGTCTGTTATCAGATTGACAATACAGTCAATGACCTTCTTCCCGTTGGGGTAGGTCTGAAGGTCAAGGTCAGGCTGGGAGATCTTCTGGGAGAGGAGATGGTCCAGGGCTGTCCTTAAATCTCTGATCAGCTCCGCACCCTGAGGGGGAAGGGGGGGGGGGGTAGACAGAGATTTGTGCATGCGGAAACATTTTGTGATTTAGTCGATGTGGGTTTGACAATAGGAGGTTGCAAAAATAAAAGGACAATGGGTCAGTGTGGTAAAGTTGGTAAAGCTCATGGTTGCTAAATCAAAAAGTCTCGAGTTCGAACCCTCTAGCAGATGAGGCTTGTTTGCTGGGGACAGCCACTCTTCTACGAGAGACAACTCCAAAATTAAACAATTGCTGCCTTGTAGTTTGTTCTTGGTTGGACAAAGACTATGGAAGCAATATCCAAAAAGAAAAGCAGGCTGAAATCGGAGTCAATGGCCTCATTGGCACATAACCAGTTGACACGTATACTTAATTGTGATGGAGGCGTGGTCTAGTCAGCAAAGCTCATGGTTGTTAAATTTTAAAAAGTCTTGAGTTCGAACCCTTTGACAGATAAGGCTCAATCCCCTTTAACACTTAAAATTAAGAACAAAGAAGAAGAAGGGACAGGACAAAAGTGGAAAGTTATCGTCGAGGCTTTATGCTCCATAAGGAGGAAAGAGGATTTAAAACGGAACTTTATTTTTACAGCAATATTTTATGCATTTAACGACTTACCAATTTATTTCTCTAAAAAGAAGAAAAGAGACTGACGTTTTTGGATCGTAAAGAGATTTTTTCTTTAAAAAAAAAAGGCCCATACCTTTCTGTCTGCTGTCTGAAATCGAATGAGGTCGTCTACATAAACTAAAATCCTGCCATAAGAATTTTTTATGGTTATTCCACCGCCAGCAAACAGCAGTAAAGAATTCTGGGAAACCACAGTGCAATCCCGAAGGTAGACCTGCAGAAATTTGTTCAAAATATTATATAAATAATGGGATGGCATGGTCGAAGTGTAGAGCATATGACTGCTAACCCAAAAGTCTCGAGTTCAAATACAGATTCAAGTACAAAATACACCTTTGAGTCAATCCAGTTCTGATGGGTACCTAACTCATGTTGGGAAAGTTAAGGTGGCTGGGCATACTTATTACCACACTACCCCTTCATAGACTGGTGAACTTCAGTTGCCCCTTGAACCATCAGGTTCAAAAGGGAACTTTACTTTTACTTTATAATATCCGTTACTGAATTTCTACATTCTAGTCATGTTTAGTTCAATTAATATTTACACCCTTGAAATGAACAGTTCAAATTAGTTTTAAAAAAAAATATTTAAACTGCAAGATTAAAACAAGTTAATTAAAAAAGTCTAGTGACATTTATGCGCAATTTCCTTATGTTATCTAAAAATAGCTCTGACGTATAATGCTGGGTTGCGTTCAAGCTAGAAGAACAATCGGTTTGTAGGTGTTTTTGTAATTTTAAAATTTGTGACCAAACGAGAGGATATTTTTGAAAACTTTCTTCGGCAATATTGCTCTAAATTATGGCAGGAATCGATTGGTACATGTTTCAAGTCGCTAAGTGGTCTGGTTGACGAGATACGGGCCAAAAACTGCTTTTTTTCGAGGTTTTTTGGCTTTTCCGGGAAATACATGAAAGAAACCCGGAATTTTTATGGCCTATGCTCATTCTTGTAACTTGCTTAACATAATTGCTTTTGGAACTAGTCATCGATATTGCTTCGTTGAGGAGGAGATACGACTTAAAGCCCGGACACACATTCATCCATACATTCATCCATCCATCCATCCATCCAGAAATGACGCGTTAATAAACGCAATTCTCCAGAATGGAAATTGCGCTAAAAAAGACAAAAGAAAAACTGATCCAGACAATCAAGCAGCCAAATGATAGCAGTTGACCACAGCAAATTAACAAGCTTAAGGGGTCATTCATAAATGATGACCAACTTCTGGGGGGGGGGGGAGGGGGGAGGGGAAGGGGATTCAGAATTTGTGACGTTGTGTGATGAGTGGAAGAGGAAAAAATCGTCAAAAAAATAAGACCACTTATGTCTAATCTTAATCTTAACATAGTCATAGATAATGACTTGAATAAAAAGTAATGGTCACAATGTACCTGAGAAATGAAAGTAGTACACAAGATAAAAATTGTAGCCAATGCATCGCAAGGCAGAACACAGGACAACATTAAAAACTAGCATCCATCCATTTGAAATTTTTCAATTTAGCGCATAAATACTGACTAGAATTCGGTCAAAGTGTAAAGAATCTCTAAATATAAAAAGTAAATTTATTAATTTTATTTAGAGGAACAAACCTTGCTTGTTTTAACTTTTTCATGGTAGACGAGGTAGTGTCCAGGGAATGTGATCTGTTTGTGGTTTACTGATGATGGGTGAATGTTGACCTGAAAATGTAATGACACAGGTCAACTTTAGGTCAACTTAAAGTCAACATTAGGTCAACTTTAAGTCAACAATATGTCAACTTTAGGTCAATTTTAGGTCACCATTGGTCAACTTTAAGTCAAATTAAGGTCAACATTAGGTCAACTTTAAGTCAACAATAGGTCAACTTTAGGTCAATTTTAGGTCAATATTAGGTAAACTTTAAGTCAAATTTCAACATTAGGTCAATTTTAAGTAAAATTTAGGTCAACTAAGTAAAATTTAGGTCAACAATAGGTTAACTTTAAGTAAAATTTAGGTCAACATTAGGTCAACTTTAGGGCGACATTAGGTCAACTTTAGGTTAACATTTTGAAAACATCAAGTTCAGGCTAATGTAACAAGTTTTCCTTAATCATTCCATAAAGTATTATATAATCTTGTTTTTTTTTTACATTTTATAAAATATTTGAGAAAAAACTATTTTAAAAGAGTGGGTTAAAAATCTAAAGAACATACCAGTTCATGGTCTTTGGTTTTAAACTGGTAACGAGATCCTGTGGAGGGGAATGATTTTATTACAAACATTATTTATTTGATGGGCAGCCCTGACCCAATGCATACAGGCTTGGTTTATCAAGATATTGTGAGAAATACTGTGCCTTTACTTTACCCAACCTAGTGTCAAGTACCCAATAGAGCTAAGTTGACTCAAGGTGTTATATGGAAAGTCATGTCAGCTTTGTATACTTCTGCTTTGTGTCCCTTCTCACTAAACTTGGCTGAAACAGGGTCCTAAGTACATACATGGCCATTTCAGCTCCCTGAGCTAAATCTTTATGTTACTCTTCAAACATGGTGGTCAACAGGGCAGATGAAGTAGAGTTCACCTGTTTCTGAAACAACTGCATTTGAAGGGATAGTGTTGATCAGTTCCATGCCCTGCAACATTTACTTTTGCTTACATGTCAGGTACCCATTAAAGCTGAGTCAACACAATGACGTCCTATAGACTCGAACCCGAGATCTGAACTCCAGACATTCGGGTTAACAGTCATGTGCTCTACCACCCCACCATGCTGTCCCATGGCTTACGCCTTTGAGCAGTACATGGTTTGATCATCGCTAAAATTTTTACCAAAGCAAATGAAAATTAAGTGAAATGACGTACCTCTGTAGGATCGGATTAATGGAGTGATAATTTCAATAACGTTGGGGTAGAGGGCAGCTACCAACATGGCAGACAGTAGAGCTGTATTGTCTGAATTTACATTAGCCTGGGGTAGGAAGAAAAATTATAATTTAAATGTAAAAAACAAAAATTTAATTCAATAACAACACACTTTCATCTGAATTTACATTAGCCTGAGGTATAAAACAAGTTACAATTTACATGTAATAAAAAAAAATTTAGTTCAATAACAACACACTTTCATCTGAATTTACATTAGCCTGAGGTATAAAACAAGTTACAATTGTAATGTAAAAAAAAAAATTTAATTCAATAACAACACACTTTCATCTGAATTTACATTAGCCTGAGGTATAAAACAAGTTACAATTTTAATGTAAAAAAAAAAAAAATTTAGTTCAATAACAACACACTTTCATCTGAATTTACATTAGCCTGAGGTATAAAACAAGTTACAATTTAAATGTAAAAAAAAAAAAATTTAGTTCAATAACAACACACTTTCATCTGAATTTACATTAGCCTGAGGTAGGAAAACAAAATTATAATTTAAATGTAAAAAAAAAAAAATTAATTCAATAACAACACACTTTCATGTGAATTTACATTAGCCTGAGGTATAAAACAAATTACAATTTAAATGTAAAAAAAAAATTTTAGTTCAATAACAACACACTTTCATCTGAATTTACATTAGCCTGAGGTATGAAACAAGTTACAATTTTAATGTAAAAAAAAAACTTTAGTTCAATAACAACACACTTTCATCTGAATTTACATTAGCCTGAGGTGGGAAGAAAAATTATAATTTAAATGTAAAAAACAAATTTTTAATTCAATAACAACACACTTTCATCTGAATTAATATCAGTCTGATATTAGTAGTGGGGAAAAAATTATTTTAATTTAATTTAATTTTAATCAAAATATTTTTAATAATGTAAAATATTTAAGTGTGCTTATAGTCAACAGGGTAATTAACCACAAACGTTTCATTTTTTAATTATTATTTTATTATATCTAATTATATAAACTTGATTGCTTGACTAAATTTAATTTTAAAAATGTACATTATTAAATTATTTTTTTATGTGTATATTCTAAATGCAAATTTTTCAAAAAAATTTATCTTTCGTATGCCTACAAAAAAACGTCAATCGTACACATCTATCCTTAGTCAGACAGCTGTAATAGTTTATCCATATATCCTTGTGTATATTTTTTAACCTTAAGATGTTGAGAGGGGGGGGGGGGGGGTAAGGAATATATATATATATATATATATATATATATATATATATATATATATATATATATATATATATATATATATATATATATATATATATATATATACATAAACACCAATTTTCCAATTTTTAAATTCTTCCTGTTGGTTAACTGCTCTGCTAAACTATGACAAGAATGAGATTAATGAGAGGCAACTATTTTGAAAATGTCACCTCCTCTCCTGTGACCAGCTTGACGCCATCAGACGCCTTGTTTGACAGCATCAACACGTCCCTCTGTCTGATGCCTGGACGGATGAAGCCAATGTTGGACAGCAGCTCCACGTATTGGTGCTTCAGGCTAGTTAGCATCTGCTCACAGAAATTCAAAAGGTTAAAAACTTTGACTAAAATCTTAAGAAACAAAAAAAAAATGTCACTCTTTTATACACTCATCAAAAAACGACTGTAGGCCTATATAAATGCATCTGCTCACAGAAATTCAAAAGGAAATTAAAAACTTTGACTAAAATCTTAAGAAACAAAAAAAAAATTGTCACTCTTTTATACACTCATCAAAAACCGACTGTAGGCCTATATAAATGCATCTGCTCACAGAAAGGGAAATTAAAAACTTTGACTAAAATCTTAAGAAACAAAAAAAAAATTGTCACTCTTATACACTCATTAAAAAAAGACAGTAGGCCTATATAAATGTATAAATGTAAACCAATTATAAATTTTTTTAAAATAATTGATTTATTCATTGATTTTTTTTCAAAATTAATAAGAGAATTAGATAAAAAATGTTTCAATAACAGATGTAGTGGTCTGGTTTTTGTTGACAGTTGTTGCAAGCAGTAAAGCTTTTATAATTGTAAATCAAACTGAAAAAACATGGCATGGTGTAATGCTGTGCTTACAACAAAACTAAATTTTATTGGCTTTTATTTGATGTTTTCCATAAAATCTTAACAAATCAAAACTTGGGTTGGATTAGTAGTTCCCAAAGCAGCAGAAGCAAACTTAATTAATTAAAACCTGGCTTGGAATAGTAGTGCCCACACCAGAATCAAACCTAATTAAATTAAAACATGGCATGGAATAGCAATTTTCACAACAGAACCAAACCTAATAAATTGAAACATGGCATGGAATAGTAATGCCCACACCAGAACCAAACCTAATAAATTGAAACATGGCATGGAATAGTAATGCCCACAACAGAACCAAACCTAATAAATTGAAACATGGCATGGAATAGTAATGCCCACAACAGAACCAAACCTAATAAATTGAAACATGGCATGGAATAGTAATGCCCACAACAGAACCAAACCTAATAAATTGAAACATGGCATGGAATAGTAATGCCCACAACAGAACCAAACCTAATAAATTGAAACATGGCATGGAATAGTAGTGCCCACAACAGAACCAAACCTAATAAATTGAAACATGGCATGGAATAGTAATGCCCACACCAGAACCAAACCTAATAAATTGAAACATGGCATGGAATAGTAATGCCCACAACAGAACCAAACCTAATAAATTGAAACATGGCATGGAATAGTAATGCCCACAACAGAACCAAACCTTGTATAATTAAAACATGGCATGGATTTAGTGAAGCAAAAAATACCTGAAGTGTTCTGTGTGAAAGGAAATTGTCTTTACAGAAGGTAGATGCCTTGTGGCTGGATACAGCCCTTGCCTTGTACCACTCCTTCAACAATGAATAAATAAGAGGTACTGTTACATTAAAATAGACACTGGAGTTAATTGTTAGCAAGTTTAGGCAGAGGCGTAGCGAGGGGGGGGCTGCGGACTGCACCGGGTGACACCATTTAAGGGGGTGACACCAACGCAAAAAATATCAAAATATATAGAGACAAACTTGAGAGGGGGGGTGCAAATCGAAAGTTCGAGGTGGTGGGGGGTGCAAATCAAAAGTTTGAGAGGGGTGCAAATCGAAAGTTTGAGGGGGGGGGTGCAAATTGAGAATTTGAAAGTTTGTCACCGGGAAGGGTCGCTATGCCGAGGGGGGGGGAGGGGGTGGCACCATTAAGTGCCGCACCGGGTGACACCCGACCTCCCTACGCCACTGGGTATAGGCAGTGTCTGGGGACACTGTAGGAAAAAGATGATCATAAGCAGTACTTCATTTTTAAACAAAAGGTTGCCAGAAAAACTTCCTGTAAACCTTTCATTTAAAAAAAAAATTTACACACGTTTTTTAACTGCATTTTTGAATTACTAAAAAAACCAAGAGTTTGAAGATATATGTAGTAAGCCCAATTACAGTCATACAATAATGAGGGCATGCATAAATACCATGATACATACATACACAAACAAGCAGATACAAAAATATATATTTAAACCCACATATAAGCAGTCACACATACATAAAGACATAAATACTCACATGCACACGCAGGCCTACATACATGCCTAAAAAAAGCATACAAAGCCAGGTACCTCATAAGCTTTCAGCATTGTCAAATGATCTGAAAATGACGTAGAAAATTCTTTTTTTTTGTCAGTGGCCTCTTTCTTACAGTTGAATGGTGAAATCTACAGGAAAATTATATCAGATAAAGTTTTCTTCTTTAATGCAACAATGTAACCCTAATTCATTAAGTAATTTAGAAACGTTTTCCATGTGTCAGAATGCTTTACTTTTTATTTAAAGAATTAAGATGTAAATCAAAGTTTGATCAGTTAGAAAACTAGATTGGCCTTACTAATGCAGGCCTCATTAATTAATTTAGTAACTTTTAATTAGAATCAGAACGTATATTATCCAATTACGAGCTGACTTGCGACGTAGCATAGGCCGCTATCTAGTTTTTTTTATTTTCTGCTTATCAGCAGTTTATAATTTGTGAATTCAACACTAACCCCCCCCCCCCCCCCCACCTACCCTATGAAAGCAGCCGTCCATGACGACAGTTTACAGAAGAAAATGAAAAGATAAAGCAGAAATTGCTACCTCCTCTCCATTTCAAATCGTTTAAATACAAAATTATCTGCCCCTTATAGCCATCATTAATTCAAATCTGCTCTACAATTGTAAACATTCGTCGTGAACCAAAGCTCACCAGACTGGTGGGGTGATAGCGATATGCTTGGAGAGCAAGGGAGGGGGAAGCGAGGTCTGCTTACGTGGTGGTGTCCCGCATGTAGAGAATTATATATATAGTTTGTTTTACTTTTTAAAAATTAATAATCAAGATATTAATCAAACTTTGATGCCCGTGAGTACCAGGGAGCATATATTATCAATAGTCCCACAAGGCATTACCGAGCAATATAAATCTAACACTGGTTTAATGTCTAACCATATCTAATATCCTAATCCTAACACTAGCTATAGGCACCAAACAAATTGTAGCCTGGGACTTGATTATAGGAACATATTTTAATTGCCTGATACACGTGTGGTTGGAAAGTTTGTAACTTTTCATTACAATTATTTCAGTGTTTGCGTAAACTATGGTAGTGACTGTCGTGTGCTATCAAAATAAAACAAGTTACTCCAAACGCTGGACCTATCGTAAATTAAAAAAACACAAACTCACAAATGGAGATTTGAAGCTCAGGGTTGCTGCCATGGTCAAGGTCGAGTCCAGACATTTAAATATCGCACCAAACAACATTAGTTTCCCAATCCTATTGAAAGAATTTCAAACGCAAATTAAGTTCAACAAATCTTTCATCAGGAAATAGTTAAGATTTTTTAAATAAAAATTGTCTAACCTGACATCCACAGGTAGGGAGCCTACATGGTAACCCAAGGGAGTTAACTCCTGTTGAAAAAAGTTAACATCAGTTAATTGAATCACCACTGACTGATTATCAAAATAAGATATGATAAATCCAAAGAAGAAATTTCAAAGGTTTGAAAGAAATATAATTTATTCCTTCTAGCAAAAAAAAAACTTTTTTAAAATAAAAATAATGACAAATAAAAAGGGGAGATCAATCTAACCTGATTGCTGTCAAGGGCACCAAGATCTGTCAATCTTTTCACAGCTCCTACCACTGCTTCAGGAGGGGGTGGTTCTATCAATCCAAGCAGAACTTTCTAAATAAATATTCAGACAGAATGTAAACACATTTATCCAAGCAGAACTCTCTAAACAAATATTTAGAAAGACATTATTCTTTGGGTGTAAGGACAGTGAATCTATCAATCCAAGCAGAACTATAAATAATATTCAAACACATTGTATACTTTTTATTGAAGGTGAAGTTCTCCAACTGTAAAAATTTTAAAGAAAATTTATTTTAAAATCCTAATTAATAACAAGAGACCTAAGCTAATTATGTATAATTTATTTATTGCAATTTTTAAAAATTAAAATATAAAATAAAATTGTAAAACATTTATGATAAGAGATAATTCAACTATATTTGTCATTTTAACTCATAAACAACTACAGTAGTAAAATTCCTCTATAAACTCAGTGATCAACAGGGCAGATGAAATAGATTTTATACGTTTCTTGACCTCGGCATATGAAGTGAGTGGGTGGTCAGCACTATGCCCAACCGCCGCCTTTACTTTTCCCAATGTCAGTTAGGTAACCCACAGAGCTGGTTGTACTCAGGGAGGTTCTACTGACTCAAGCCTGGGATCCGAACTCGACACTTTCAGGTTAGCAGTCTAGCATTCTACCACCATCCCCTGTTCATAAACCAAAACAGAGATCCAACTCGAGACCTTTAGGCTAGAAGCCAAATGCTCTACCATTCAAGTACACTGTCCCTAAACATCTCTAGAGTGACTGTGATGACGCAAGGTTGCATCGGAGAGGCCAGGTAGATAGCAGAAACAGGCTATAGCGAGTTGGTCAGAGAGAGACCAATAAAAATAAGGGAGGCGTGGGTCAGTAGAGAGATTAGCGGCAGTGGATAGGTTGCTAGCGAAGAGTAGAGAAGGTGTTAGGAAACAGTCAGAGACGGTCGAGATATGTAGGGCTAGGTAACAGTTGATAATTAGTGAAGAGAGCGGTCAGATAGGTAGATCTAGGAAACGGCAGACAGTAGTAGTAGAGAGTATAGAATAGGCTAGTTAGGTAGGGAATTAATTTGATTGTTTAATAAAGGACATTTATCTTTGAATTGGACTTGTGTGTGTCAATTCCAAACTATAACCAGGCTGGTATTATCTTCATCACCCCCACTCTCACATCTGGGTTGATGTTATATTCCCCCTCACAACTGGTGACAAGAAGAAATTCTAACCAATCCACGCGTACCCTCACAGTGACCTTATACAAATATTCCTAATGATGATACAGAAAAGGTCATAAACATTGAGATGTTAAAAGATGTGTCTATGAACTCAAACCTGGATGTCTTGGTTCTTGAACAAGGTCATGACCTTGGTCCTTAAGACCAGCTGTTCCAGACAAGTTCGTTGGATTTCTGGTGATAAAAAAATGGATCGAGTTGAAGTTTTTTTTTCAAGTTAAATTGAGATAAATAAAACAATCCCAGCGCAAATAATTTGTAAAAAATGTTCATTGGCCTTGACAGACTTATAATTTAGCCAACTCTTAACATTACGGTAGGGTACTGACTCACCTGGCACAGGCTGCTCCAGCAGGTGATACCTGTAGCGGTAGGACGTGAACAGGTGGAAGCACTTGCCCGCCTGCACCCTGCCCGCCCTGCCCATCCGCTGCAGGGTGTTGGTCCTGGATGTCCACACCATGTCCAGGCTCTCCATGCTCTTCACCTGGTCAAACCTGAAGGTCAAGGTCAGGGGTAGAATTTTTTTTTTTTTTTAAGCAGAGAATAATCTTGTGAGAAATTATGGTTGGGGTTTGCACTTAATCCTACAGTTATTCGATATGTTTTTTTTTTTGTTCTGATCCAATACATATACATTATTTTATTCAATATTCAGAACTCAATGGTTTTGCTAATAATGGTAGGCCTACAGTACTAGCTAACGTATTGGTACAGAACTAGCAGACTTCTTCTTCGTTCTTAATTCTAGTCTTGGAAGGTATTACCTTCCCAATTAAGTATTATGTGTCAACTTGTTATGTGCCATTTAGGCAGTTGACTCCTATTTCAGCCTGCTTTTCTTTTTGGATTTGCTTCCATAGCCTTAGTCCAACCAAGAACAAACTACAGCAGTAGCGTAGCGAGGGCGGGGCGGGGGGGGGGGACGACATATGTCCCCGGGCGCCGAGCTTAGGGGGTGCCAAAATGGGTTGGAAAAATAAATTGAAATCTCGAGGGGGGGTGCAAATCGAAAGTTTGAGGGGGGGGGGGGGTGCAAATCAAAATCTCGAGGGGGGTGCAAATCGAAAAGTTTGTCCCCGTGCGCCGGGAAGGGTCGCTATGCCTCTGAACTACAAGGCAGCAGTTGTTTGATTTTGGAGTTGTCTCTACTAGAAGAGTTGCTGTCCCCAGCTGTCGAGCCTCATCTGCCCAAGGGTTCGAACTCGAACATTTCGGTTTATCAGCCATGAGCTTTTCTGTCTCGACCACGGCGATCCCTACTGGCTGAAATATTGGCAGTTATTGCTGGCTACTTTATACAGTACTACCTGGTTAAGTACAGTGCAGCAGGAATACATAAGGCAAACACAAACACGATAAAATTAAACAGACCTCATTTCTTTCATTCTCCCTGTATCAATCACATACACAATATCATCTATGGTAATGGACGTTTCAGCTATGTTAGTTGACAAGACTATTTTTGTCACACCCTCTTCCGGCTTTCTGCAAAAAAAAAATATTTTACTCTTCAGATTCAGATGAATTAACTAATCTGGTTTTAAAAGGTAACAAATTATTAAGTTTTACTTATAAAGAAACATAAATATTTTACTCTTTTAATTCTTATGAATTTACTAATCTGGTTTTAAAAGGTAAACAAAGTATTGAGTTTTACTTACAAGAACACCGAATATTGTTCCTCAGATGATAGCGATGAGTGCAAAGGAATTATCTTAAAACTGATTTTTTAAAACAAAGAATTAAACTTTGGTTTCTATGTTAATGGATAAACTAATTTCAAACATTTCAAATATGTTCAAGAGCAAATTTACAGAGATATCTAATATTTGTCATTTGTATATCTACTATTTATGATGTTTGGGTTTTAGCTAATTATTGGTGTTCAATTAAAGATTACATGGTAAACAGAATAGCCTAATTAACTTTACTGAGCTTTTTACCTTTACTGAATTATCTTTCATTATGAAGTGATCTTTAACTGAGTTACCTTACTTTATTGAGTAATCTAACTTTACTGAACTATATACTGTTAATATTGAACTTAACTGAGTTGTCTAACCTTACATAGTTAAAAACTAAACAGAGTTATCTAACTTTACTTAGTTATGTAACTTAATTAAATTACATGGGTTGTTTGACTAAGAAAATGTATCTTACTTCAATGAATTCCTGGAGAACTCTTTGCACTCAAAGATCAGGTCATAGAGGGTTTGGATCTCCTGGTAACCAGGCAGGAAGACCAGGATCGCTCCTTTAACTGGAACCTTATAAACATTGGGGAAAAAAATTTGCTTCAAGAGATATCAATTCTAGAGCTATTTTTTTAAATTAGATTTTTTAACAGGGTAGCCAGTCAGGAAGACAAGGATCGCTCCTTTAACTAGAAGCTTATAAACATTGGGGAAAAAAATTTGCTTCAAGAGATATCAATTCTAGAGCTATTTTTTTAAATTAGATTTTTTTACAGGGTAGCCAGTCAGGAAGACAAGGATCGCTTCCATATGTGGGATCTAATAAACATTTTTGAAAATGTTATTTTAAATGTAGCAATTAATTTCTAAAGCTATTTTTTTAATACATTTTTTTTTAAATAATAGTTAACAGATTAAAGAAAAGAGCCATAGGACAAATGAAGCAGAGTTGATCTGTTTCTTGGACCATCAAGTTTAATGGACTGTGTGGTCAACTTATATGAAGCTGAATAGAGTCAAGTACCAATCAGAGCTCAGAAATGAGCTTGAGACATACAAGTTATCAACTGTGTGCTCTACCATCCCACCACGCCATGCAGATTCAATAATTTATAATTTGTGTTTTTAAAAGATTATTTGTAAGCACATAATGGGTTTTTTAAATATAGAAACTTAAATTTTCTAATTTCTATTGGTGTAAGATTTTAAATAAAAACATTTTTACACACACAATATAATTTTGTTTTTAAAAAATGCTTTTCACAGTTGTAGCCTACTTAAATAATCGACAGTTAAGTTTTAAATCAAGAACAACAAATGCCCTCTGCTCAACTGAAACCAGTTACCTGTCTGTCCTGTTTCACTATCCACTCAATCAAATGGACAATCAGCTCATAATTAATTTTCTCACACTCCATTGCTGCCAGAGTTTTGAGGGAGGAAGTTTTCAGCCCTGGTATCCCAGATCAACAATTGATTTATTTTTTTTCAACAAACAAAAGCACAGATTTACAACTTAGACTAGATTAACAAATATGGAGTATATAGGTATGCTATAAAATATACTAACCTTAAATTTCTAGTAAAGTAATAATTGAATTATTGTGCAGAAGTATTACAATGTAATTTAAAGTAAAATTCAATCTAATATAGTGAAATATGTTCCCTTGATTTAGAGTTCTGTATCGGTTAAAATTTTTCTAGCATTAAAGAGTTCACAAGCTGGAAATTTGTTTTAGCTTTGACGATTCATTTTAAGTGTTTGTAGTATTATTTAAATAATTATTAAGTAATAAAAACTGTCACAAACTACACATAGCACAGATAAAAGTATGACAAAAAGATTTATTAAAAGTCCTTGATTGCCATTATTTGTTGAATATAAAATACCTTAGTGCCTCTGACATGGTATTATTATCATCTTTTCCCTTTTATGCCCAAGACATAGGGCCCCCCACAGAAAGCTCTCTCCACTTTTACCAATCTCTTATGATTTTCTTAGCAGTCACCAAAGATAGTCCTGCTTTTGTCAGTTAATTTTCTACTGTTCACCTCTATGCCCCTCGTGTATTGTAGGGGGGTTTTATGGGATTGTTAAAACCACACTTCTAATGACAAACTCCTGCCTCTGCCACTGACTACTACACTTTACGCCTGTTGAAAAGAAAAAACCATTGAATCACCTGAGTATCTTGCCTTCAACTGTTGGGGACTTAACTTGGCATCTGGCAGAGTGGGCTTTGCCTCGTCCGACCTTCCTGAGCTGGTGTGCAGCTGACGGTCAAGGTCATGGAAGTGGCGTGTTTCACTTCTTGGGCGAGCATAGTGTGAGTCCATCTCCATGACATAACTGAAGAAATATAACTTTTATAATGCAAGGTCTAAGCTTAATTTTTTTTTAATTTAAAGGGATCAAGGGAAAAGGACTACGCTATTATAAAACTGAATATTCGTTAGCTTGTTAAAAGTTTTGAGAAATCAGGTGCAACTTTTTTTAGATGTTGATTTTTTTTAAATTTACTATGGCGATATGAATTGTATGAAAGGTGTGTTGTTAGGCAATGAAGTACAGTAAACTATGTGTGTGTGTTCTTTTACTTTTGTATTATTAGACAGTGTGGAGTCTGGGTTTATTGACATGTATGTTTTTGTTGGGAGTGAACGAGTGTAACAAAGGAAACGACTGCTCATGTAATGGCAGATGTGTTGTGAGCGGGAGTAAGGAGGTGTGTAATGATGTGTGATAGTCAAGGGTGGCGAGTGGAATAAGGAAGAGAAAAAGCGTTATATTGAGGTTGGCACTTTGAAGTTGAGATTAAAATCCTTTGATTCATTCCTAACGACTTGTGTCTACCTGTGTCTAAAGAAAATACACCCTCACACTTACCTTGTTTGATCTATCACATCTTCCAAAAAAAATTGTTCAACCTCAAACAAACGCCCTGCATAAAGAAGACACAAAGTTAATTTGTTTTTAAAAGCAGTTACGGCAACAATTTCTCATTTTTTAAATGACTGCACATTACATTTTAAAGCCTGGTTTTAACAAAGTAAAAAAACAATCGCAACTAACCTGGAATGTCATAAATTGGACAAACACCAAAATATTCTGAGAACAGACTAGTATTCATGGTGGCGCTCATCAATATAACTTTCAGATTTTTGCAGACTTTTAGGATATCTCGCACAATCATCAGAAGAAAATCACTGGGTTATGAAATAAAACAAATAAAAATTTGGTTGTAACATTGAAAAAAACAAATAGAGATTTTTTTTTTAGTCCATAAAACACCTATTGCAATAAGTGATCATCATCTTCTCCCGCTCATGTCCAAGACAAATGGAGCAGATGAAGTAGAGTTCATCTGCTTCAGAGACCTCGGCATATGAAGGGATAGTGTGGTCAGCACTATGCCCAGCCACCTTTGTTTTGCCTAACATGAGTTAGGTATCCATCAGAGCTGGGTGGACTCAGTGACATTCTACTGACTTGAACCCAAATTCCAACTCGAGACTTTCGGGTTAGCAATCTAGCTCTTAACCACTAGGCCAAGCAGTCCCATACAATAAGTTATACTGGCCACTAATGGCATTATTGTTAGCTTTATCAGCAAACACAAAACAATTGCTAACAGACTGGTATAACAAAAAATGACAGCCTCACAAATAACTAAGTAAATACCAGAAAAACTGTCACTTTAACAAATGGCCTGTTTAAAGTTTAAAAAACAAGCTATTGATTGTTCATGTTCATGCTGTTCATCATAATAAAAACCTAGCCAGAAGAATGGATGTTTATGAATGATTGTCTTAATTTAGCATTTGATATATACAACTACTTTGGACAGGTACTAAATTTAATTATAAAAAAAATTGTAATTGAAAAAAAATATTTTTTTAATAATTTTTTTCAATTCATAAATTTTGTTTACTGTTAAAGGAAAATGGGTTTCAGAAATATGAGAAAATGACCTTCACCTTTCAGAAGACCTCTCATGAACCTCATCGATGATTACATGTGAAACATGTTCCAATGTGGGATCACCCTCCAGCCGACGTAAGAGTATACCAATAGTGCAGAACAGAAGTCGAGTTTGATTGGACTGTACAGATGTGTTTTTAAAAAGTCGGGTTAAAAAACTTTATGGAACAAACAAAGACTGTAATAAAATATTTTGTTCTATACTTTGAAAAAAATTTCATTCTTTACTCTGCAGTATTAGTTTTTATATAAATTTATATTAAAAAAAAAACTTGTATTACTCAAAATTCATTGCCTATTTTGAACATGAATTAATTAGTTTCATAATTTAACTTTAAAATTGGATATCCGAAACCATGATTTAGCAACAATACAATACAAAGCAATGCTTAAAAAAATTATAATAGAATTAATACTAAAACACTTTTACCGTATTGCTTTCTAGGCGAATTTGGTACCCCACTAGACCCCCTAAGGGTTCGGCCATTTCTTCCGCAACACGCTTGGCCACAGACATGGCTGAGATTCTTCTGGGTTGGGTACACACAATGTTTGCTGCAAACTCCTCTTCTTGCAGGGCTTCCTCCAGTATATACTGCGGCACTTGGGTTGACTTGCCACAGCTGGTCATAGAGAAATTAAATTTAGGGTGTTACATGTCATAGAGGACAGCGTGGTTGGATTGTAGAGCTAACAACTGCTAACAATAAAATCTTGAGTTCGGATCTTGAGCTTGAGTCTGCACTATGTCCATTAGTCGATTCAGATATGATGGGTACCTAACTTATGTAGGCTGATGGGCATAGTGCTGACCATACTATCCACTTTAAATTCCGAGATCATTGAAACATGTGAAATCTACCCCATCTTGGGCATGAATGAGAAAAGATAATGATGTCACACATCAGTAAAGATTAATGCTATACTGACTCTCAAAAACTTAAGGCTATACAGCCACACAATCACTTTATTCAGATAAAAATTATCTCCCTTATTGATTATCAGACTCAAAATTTGCACTTTACTTTATTAATGTTTAACTATTATTATAAACAATTTTGATTACTTATTTTAAAAAAACTACAACTGACTCGGCTCTCAAAAACTTTATACAATACAGCCACACAATCACTTTATCCAGATAAAATTATCTCCGGCAGATTCAAAATACGAACTTGACTTCATTAATGTTAAATTACTATTATAAACAATTTTGATAAATTGATAAATTGATTTTTTAAAAAAACTACGACAAAGTGAGAGTAAAGACCCTACCCAGTAAGTCCACTAATGATGACCACCTGGTTCTCTGCAATAAAATCCAAGATTTGATTTCTATGGTTCCATGTGGGAAGATTTTTTCTAATTGCTTGCATACGTGAGTACTCTGGTGTGATCTAAAAAAAACCAACAACAATAAAAAATGTACCACACTCATTAAACAGATAAAATAAAAGCTAAAAAAAAAAACAGTGTTGAATTAAAATACTGTAGTGTATTCTAAATACATTATGGATTTGATTTTGCTTTTAGATTTATCACACACACAGTATATGTATATATGAACATAAGTATGTGCAGGTGTATGTATTTTATATGTATTCTATAAATATGTAATTTATATGTTACTTTATTATGTTGAATAATGTATCTGTTGTATATGTTGTATTTCTTGTCTATATATACATGCATGTAAATTAGTAATGAAGACAGCTCTTATGAATGCAGCAGAGAATATCTTATAGTACTAAACTGAAAAACTAGTGTGATTTGGCACAACAAAATTATTATGATCCCAGAGTAAAGTTTGCTATTTCTTTAAAGAATAGGGCAATGAAATGAGTATTACACAAGAGTAAATAGTGTTGGGTTTTTTAAAAACACAAACCTTTTTAACTTCATGCCCCAGTTTTATAATTTGATTCATGTCGAGCATCTCTTCTGGATCACAGTGGTATGAGTATTTGATTGAATTAGCTATCTTTAATGACGCAATGTTTGTTGATTCTTCTTCTACAGCTTCAAGACAGCCTTCACCGCTATCTCCTGGTGAGCTGGAATAAGAATCTTATTTTTGACCTATCTTGTGCAAGTTTTTTTCTATTTTAATTTCCTAAACCTTTTCATTTTAATTATTTTTAATTTAACTGTTTGAAGTATTTTTCGGATAAGCATAAACATTCAGGTTTGTATTTAGTAGTTTGTTAAAAATATAAGAAGGCATTATAAGGAACACGTGCAATATAACCCCTTCTTACACTACACATTATTAGTTTTCAAGTTCATATATATAAAGCATTATAAAATATAGTGTGGCTAATGAAAAGCTAACCCATTTGAGAGATTCTTTGTCTCCAAAGACTCAAGAGTATTTCTGACAATTTCCTGCATTTCACTATCCATCTTGAAAGATTTGATGTTGGCATCAAAGGCAGAGGTAACTCCAATCCCCAATTTCTCTTGCAAGAGCATGAAAATATTTTCTGGATCTAGACCTAGGGAGAAAAAAACATAGATCTATCAATCATCATCCATGGCAATATAATAATTTAGTAATATTTTTACTTTTTTTTTTAGTGTTAGTATCCTCTCCGAAACATGTGCCACTTTGAGTTAGACCTCTAAGTTTAAGTATTATAATTATAAGTAATATATTCATATAAGTAAGCCTTAACTTTAATAAGTCATAAGTCAAGCAATTTAATAAAAGATTATAGTGTATTATAGTTATAGAGTATACTGTATAGACATAGTATAGTACTAGTAGTAGCCTATTTAATTTATAATTTATTAATTAGTGACATTTTTGTAGAAGTACTAAATGTAAATGATTTGTCAGGCCTACTAACTAACTACTTTTTTTTCTAACTAGGATCTAGATTTTATTAGGCCCTACTATTTATTTATTTCTTAATTTCTAAATTTTAATATTTTAATTGCAAACAAACCTTCTGCCATGTTGTATTATTGTTGTTCACTTTGGCTTATTAATATTATTATACTATTATTAATAAATAGATTATTTTCTTCCTAGCTATAGATCTAAGTAGCCTAGATCTATAGCAGCATAGCTAGAAAGACCTAGTTTTCTAGATCTAGATCTAGAGCTCTAGATTCTAGATCTCTGCATGCTACTAAAAAAAAACTATTACTACGTATCTACGTAACTACGCTGACTACAGCAGACTACACTACAGACAGTTTTAGTTTTTAACTTTTTATGCTCAACAAATCTACATTCTTCTATTAATAGTTATTATTAGATCTAGAAGACAATATATATCTAGATCTAGATTCCAAAACAACTTATGATATTTGATATATTGCACCCTTTGATTACAGATCTAAATTGATTTAGACTACATTGGCTTGATCTTTCAAGATTCACTTTCACTTTTAAAGAAATATTGATTCATCAGCTGGGCTATTTTAAGTTTTTACATTCCTAGAAATATAGAGTAGATTTAGGGAATTTCCATTAGGAACGCTGGATTTTCCAGTTTAGCGTAATCTACGAAAAAAAAAATTCTTAGGTCGATTCACCAATAACTCCTCGATTACTTTTATAATGTGTTCTTTTTAAACTGATGTTTTAATATTAAAATACTTGCATAGTTAATATGATAAATTTTGTATCTTACAACTTAGGGGCGAAATTATAATTTTATTTTGTTATTAGGAAAAATAAATCTATATTTTAAGATATTTTTTATTTATCACGTGATACCTGTTCACATGATTATTAGACAAAATGGCGCTCACATGTAAACAGATTCTTTTGATGCTTGGTATGCTGGTAACAGGAAGCATAAATACTTTGACGAAAAAAGTGCAGCTGCAGTGCATGTACGTAGATCTAGATCTAGATCTTAACTTATAGAATTTTAAAATGTTTTATCTAAACGCTCTATTAAAGCTAAACTTCTGTTTAATTTAGAATGGACCCAGTCTCAGACGTCTCAGTCGAAGTTATTCGACTTTATTGGAGAGGCCTAGGTTTATTCCATAAAAAAAAAATTGTTTATCCTTGTCATTTTTTTGTCAACAATATGATGGAGGGATTCTTGTCAACTCTGTAATGTCCAGTAAGCCTATTCAACTAGCTAATCATAAAGCAAAGGGGAGATAACTTGCTTATAAAATCTTTCAAGTCAGTCAAGATTCAAGAACATCTCGAGATTCTTGACTGAGTTTTCAAATTTTGTTTTCACCACAATCTCTTAAAAGTTGAAAATAAGGATGATTGAGTGATTGAGAATACCGGGCTACAGTGCTGCCCTGTAGTTTAGACTAGAGGGTACAACGTAGCAATGCTCAGGAGCTGACTTTGTCTTGCCTGAATATCTTAATATTAAAATAACGAGCATAGAATTTCATAGATTTTCAATTTCACTCTAATTCTCCAAACATACATTTGAATTCTGGTTTTATTTTAGCATGTCTAGGTCTTGCGTTTGACTGTTTTAACTTAAACTCACCAATAAACTTTTAAGTTTTAAAAGCTTTTTTTTTTTAAATTATGGTTTCTTGTGTTCTATTTGTTATATTTTATTGTGTTTGTTTTAGTTATGCATCAATTTATTAAAATATGCAGCTTTAAATTGTCTGAAATAATCAAAGTATTTTATTTTGCTCAGTAGAAAGATATAAGATAAGAATTAAGATAGTAAAAAACTACATCAGCCAACAAATTATAGTATTTGTAATTTATTGTTATCTCAAAACTCAAATAACATGGGTAGATTCTTGTCTAACACTATACTGATTATAAAATTACTATAATTCGGTTTTTTTATTTGGCTGATTTTCTTAGTTCTGAAGGTTTCCACTATGAAAACAGCACATCATGGGAACCTCACACTTTCAACCATCCCTGGTTTCAGACATGGCTCATGTTTATAGGTTTGTTCTGGCTTCATTGTCCATTACTTCTGAAAACTACCCTTTCTTAATTAATAAGTCATTGCTTATTATTTAATACAACAGAATTAAATTACAAAAAAAAAAAAATCCTCTTCAATAAAATAACAAAGCAGCCTACCTTAAAATTAACTACTATTAGAACTTTATAATGTAGACCTAAACAATCATCATTAAAAAAAAAATCTTTCTTTAACACTTAGTGGCCATTGTTTTTGCTTTGGTTGTTGTTATTTATTTTATATTGTTTGTTTTTTGTTGTTTTTTTTTTTTTTGCTTTATCAATATAAGAAAAAAAATGTAATTGTAAAATGCTTTTTCTTTATTTCAGGTGAAAGCACTTGCCTGATTGGTCTTTTTCTATCAAGACACAGAGAAAAAAAAGAAAGAGAACGAGTTGTTAGTTTTTTTATTTTAATTTCTCGTGTACATGTTTATTTTTGGCAATTTCAGCGAGATTAAATTTACTCATTATTTTTAAATTATTTTCTCTGTGTGATGTAACTACTGTTTTGACGGTTTTGATTTCATTAAATCTTTTGATTTCCTTTACTAGGCTGCTTGGTCCGCTCAAGTTGGCCATGAAGCCCCAGAACAGGTGAAAAATCCCAGGTAGTATAATTATGAAGAATTTGAAAAATTCACTTTATTATCATAATATAAAAAGAGTTTTTTGACACATTAACAATAACTTTTTTAACACATGAACAATAACTTTTTTAACACATGAACAATAACTTTTTTAACACATGAACAATAACTTTTTTAACACATGAACAATAACTTTTTTTAACACATGAACAATATGTTTTTAACATATGAACAATAAGTTTCTATGCACATTTACAATACACGGTAACAGTTTTTTAAGTTGTATAAGTGACATTGGGTCCATCATCTGTGTGGAGAGAGGGGGTCTGATTGTGTGGAGAGGGGGGGTCTGATTGTGTGGAGAGAGAGGGGTCTGATTGTGTGGAGAGAGGGGGTCTGATTGTGTGGAGAGAGGGGGTCTGATTGTGTGGAGAGAGGGGGTCTGATTGTGTGGAGAGAGGGGGTCTGATTGTGTGGAGAGAGGGGGGGTCTGATTGTGTGGAGAGAGGGGGTCTGATTGTGTGGAGAGAGGGGGTCTGATTGTGTGGAGAGAGGGGGTCTGATTGTGTGGAGAGAAGGGGGTCTGATTGTGTGGAGAGAGGGGGTCTGATTGTGTGGAGAGAGGGGGTCTGATTGTGTGGAGAGAGGGGGTCTGATTGTGTAGAGAGAGGGGGTCTGATTGTGTGGAGAGAGGGGGTCTGGTTGTGTGGAGAGAGGGGGTCTGATTGTGTGGAGAGAGGGGGGGTCTGATACGTGGGCAACATCTGGTCCGTCTCATCTTCATGCGTAGTTAAACTTCTATTTTTATCTGACCCCAGGACCTGGCAGTGGATTTTACTGGTGCCGACATGCTGTGATCTCCTGGGGACATCTCTAGCAGGTGAGGGCTGTGATGTGGGTTTTTTCTTTGGTGAGACAGCTTGTCGTATTGAAGTAGCCTGATTGAGACTTGTGATATAGTGAAGTAGTCTGATTGAGACTAGTACAATAGTGAAGTAGCCTGATTGAGGCTTGTGATACAAAGAAGTAGCCGGATTGAGACTCATGATCGCTTGCAATAGTGAACAAGCCTAATTCAGACATGTTGATGAAGTGTATATGTTGATAAAACATAAGCTTTGAATATATGACAATTATAGCAAATTTTTTTTATAATGCCAAGTATGTGTGAGAGCTGAGTAACCTCATACACATCTTAAACTCAAGTTGAGAACTAGATATTAAACTGACTGCACACATTGTATTTGTGGGACTGGGTGGCCTAGCTGTAGAGCGCTAGACTGCTAACCTGAAAGTTCGAATCCAGGTTCAAGTCAGTTGAACGTCCATGAATCCACCCAGCTATCCCTCCATATGCCTAGGTCACAGAAACAGGTGAAGTCTACTTCACTTGCCCCATGGACTGTCTGGTTTGAAAGGAAAATTTACTTTTTTTTTTTTTTTACACATTCTATTCAGCCAAATGGGTCAACTTGCTGGAGTAATTTTCTCTGGAATTTTGTGTTTTTTTCTTCAGGTATTGGGTTGATCTATGTGGATGCTTCTGTCTGGCAAATGCTCAGGGGCGCCATCATTATTTTTGCTGGGATCTTGTCTGTAAGTTCAACAAAGTATTGATGAAATATTTAAAACTATATTGATCAGTTTATCATTTATTGTTAAGAAATATCTAATGCACTATATATCAATGCACTAATGGGATGTAAAAAAGAACAAGAATTTACTTATTAGTTACAAGCAATGGTGTATATATCAGTTCTACATTCACTATTGTGAGCTGATGAAGACATTGGGTCGAAACTTTCATTGTACTTATTGTTGTTTTGAATTTGAGTGGATACTAACACTGCCTGTTGTATTCCTAGTTGCATACATATAACTGCAGCTACCATTTTTATTTATATATATTGTTCTCCTTTATTCAACACTAAAATTGTATTATGTTAGATGGGCATTTACATTTGTTCTTCTTTTTTGTTTAATTGTAATGTTGGATAGGGTCGGCGTGGTCGAGTCGGTAAAGCTCATGGTTGCTAAAACCGAAAAGTCTCGAGTTCGAACCCTCGGGCAGATGAGGCTCGTTAGCTGGGGACAGCCACTCTTCTAGGAGAGACAACTCCAAAATTAAACAACTGCTGCCTTGTAGATTGTTCTTGGTTGGACAAAGGCTATGGAAGCAAATCCAAAAAGAAAAAGCAGGCTGAAATCGGAGTCAATGGCCTCAATGGCGCATAACCAGTTGACACGTAACGCTTAATTGTGTTGGAGGCGTGGTCGAGTCGGCAAAAAAGCTCATGGTTGATAAATTCGAACAAAGTCTCGAGTTCAAACCCACTGGCAGATAAATCTCGATCCCCTTCAACACTAATAATTAAGAACGAAGAAGAAGAAGAAGTAATGTTGGATGGAATTTCCTCCAACACAAGTAATATATGTCAACTTGTTATGGGCCATTGACTCTGATTTCAGCCTGCTTTTCTTTCTGGATTCGATTTCATATTCTTTTTTCAACCAAGAACAAAGTACAAGGTAGCACTTGTTTGATTTTATGTTTGTCCTTTGTTTCAGAAATTTTTTCTAAAACGTAAACTGAAGCCCATCCACTGGCTGGGGATGAGTGTGGTGATGGTCGGCCTGATACTGGTGGGATGTTCCAGTGTCTTCAAGAACAAGTCCAGCCAGGGGTCAAAAGCCATCTTAGGTAACACCCCCCCCCTCCCCAACCTATTCATTGATATAACATCTTTGAGTTAACACCCTTAGTTTTTACAATTTTTACAAGACTTGATAGTTCAGACACAACAAAGGGAACTAAAAAAAATCTTTACACTTCCTTCATTGAATCAATCTTTACACTTCCGTAATTAAAATAATCTTTACAATTTCTTTATTAAGTAAAAAAAAAATTAAAATTACCCTTATGAACTTGGTGGTCCTTGTAGCATATGAGGTAGAATTCACCTATTTCTGTGACCACAGAATATGAAGGGATAGTGCGGTCAGCACTCTGTCCAGCTGACTTTACTTTCCTTTATGTGTGTCAGGTACCAATCTCATTCAACCCCAGGATCCAAACTTAAAATTTTCAGGTTAGCAGCCATATGCTATACCAGGTGTCTCCAAACTACGGCCCGCGGCCCGCAAGGTCCTCTCATCCGGCCCGCGGAGATCTTTTTGTCCACAAAAAAAATGTCTGTTAGAGGTGGCTGAGGAACTTTGCCCAGAAAATTCAAAACAATTTGAAAATGTAGTTTTGGGTGCAAATACCTGTGCCCACCGTGTTGTAGACATTGTTGAAAACATCGTGACTCAAATATCGAAAAATGTAAGCACGTTTCACTATTACTTAATTGCAATGGATGAGTCGCTGGGCAGCTATTTCCCCTCTCAACTGATTGTGTTCATTAGGGCTGTGGATGAAGACATGAACATAACACAAGAGCTTGCTTCCCTACATAATATGTATGGCACTGTTACCGGAGAGGATATATTCAATGAGTTGAAGAAAACATTTGCTGATTATAACTTGGACTAACCTCAGTTACCTGACTGTTGATGGGGAAAAGTATTTTAGTGGCATAAAGAAAGGCGAATGAGAAAAATATTCTACAACCAATGCTCCTGCACTCTATTATTCATCAGCAAGCTTTGAGTGCTAATATATGGACATTAGCAGATGGCGAATTTAATGAGGTCACATGGGCTCAACCATAGATATAGAATACGTGAAAAATAATTTGAGAGCAAACTTGGACCTCGAGTGTGTTGTCGGCCTCTGACAGTGTTTCTTTCAGATTTTTTTTCTCTGGGCGGGGGGGGGGGGGCGGCATTTGAAATTTGTAAATATTTCTATATATAATATAAATTATATTTTGTCGGGGGGGGGGGGGGCGTGCGGTGGACCTTTTTTGGGGGGGGGGGGGGGTTCCATAACACCGAAGATATGCATTTAAAAAACTCTGGCCCCCGAACTGATATTTGATAGTCAATGCGGCCCTCAGTCTGAAAAGTTTGGAGACCCCTGTGCTATACCATCCAACCACGCCGTCCAAGTACCTTCTTCATTAGAACAATCTTTCCCTTTTCTCTGTTAGTACAATCTTTCATTATTAGGACTATCATCCCATTGTTGATTTTATTACTGATTAAGACTTCTAAACTTACTTTGACAACAGTTCCAAGGTAGCTAACTGCAACAGCTTTATTTTGAGGTTGTATTGCAAATTTCTCTTCCTACCCACAAACCACACCTCCCCCTCCTACAGACCACTACTGACCACAGCATTGAGATCAAACCAAACCTTTTTCCCTATCATCTGTATGACAACTTCTCTCCTTCCCCCATCCCCTCCCCCCCCCCCAGTCTACTACTGACCACAGCATTGAGACCAAATCAAACCACTTTCCTTATTATCTGTACTTCAACTTTTCTCCCTTGTCCAGGTATTGTGTTAATCCTGGCTGGTCAACTTGTCAGTGCAAGTCAAATGATTATAGAAGAATTGTTTCTTAAGAAAAGGAACTTTCCTCCACTACAGGTTAGATTAAATTTTTAAAAAAATTTATTTTCTTCAACAGATTTTATATTTCAGAATAGACAAAGATTTTTATTTATTTTTTTTTGCGGTTAATTTAATACTAATTTTTATTTGTTTATTTTGATAATTTATTTCTTGATTCATATATCTTGTCTTTAAAATATATAAATGTTTGATACTAAAATATATTACATTGATAGCTTGTGATTCTGTATTTGTTCAACAGGTTGTTGGAATGGAAGGAGTTTTCGGCTTTCTGCTGATGACTTTTGTAAGTTTAATGTATATTTTATTTTCTTGGTTGATTTTAGCTTTTTTTTAAACAAAAATTTCATTGTTTTTTTTTATGTCATTTCAAGTTCTTGCTAAATAGGCTAAAGTAAGTAAAGTTACCCTTTTGGTTCAGATGAAGTACAGTTCAGTGTTTCTGTGACTTCAGCATATGAAGAAATAGGGTGGTCAGCACTATAACCAGCCGCTTTTACTTTCCTTAACTTAGTTACCCATCAGAGCTGGGTGGACTCAGGATGACTTTTGTCAAGCCCAAAGTGATAAATCAAGACTTTTCAGTTAAGCGGTTGCATGCTCTTCCATCAGACCACACCGTCCCATCAATTAACTAGGCTGCTAAACTGAAACGTTTTAAAACTTCCTAAACTGTTTAAATTAAGTTTGTTTGAAGTTACTAGTTGTTTTCATAGGATAGAGAAAAATTACCATCACACTTGTCAAAATTTCTTCTAAAAGTCTTAACACTACTCAAAATTGCCATGACCCTTGTCAAAATGTCTTCTAAAAGTCTTAGCACTGCTCAAAAAATGTTTCCCATATAAATGAATGACTTGAAGTATTTTTTGGGAACATGTTGTTGAAGCGTAATTAAATGGAAATTTGTAATTTTATTTTAACAAAGCTTTTTGTTATCATTTCTATTTTATGTTATTTTAAAATGTTGTAGTAATTATTATGAAAGTAAAAAAAAATTAACCTTTTTTTAAATATTAACACAGATTTTATGGATTATTCTTGTATTGCCAGATTTTTTTGTAACTGCTGGTTATTTGTGTATTGCCAGATAATCCTCCCGTCCATGTACTTTATACCTGGCAGTGACGCAGACAACCGCTATGAGAACAGCCTGGACGCCTTAGTGCAGATGGGCCACAATGGCAAGCTCATGGCCATGTGTATCCTCTACCTGTCCTCCATTGCGTTTTATAATTTCTTTGGCCTGGCTGTAACTAGGTCACTTACCGGTGAGTTGACCTTTGCCCCATTGCATAACAGTTAACTCTCCTAACAAGAAAGTTTAAAATAAAAATGTTTACTTGACAGTAATAAGCTTGTACAAGCATTTTAATATATTTTTAGCATATGAATTCAAATGTATTGTGTTGGATCAGGCTATTGATCTATTGAAATATTTGGTTTAGATATCTGTAATTAATTAATTGATTGATTTTCTGTTTTTTGTAGCTGTACACCGCACTTTGATTGATGCCTGCAGAACCATCATTGTGTGGTTGGCTTCTCTGTTTGTCTATTACGTTATTAATACAGTAAGTCTGCATCCATCATGACATTAAAATATTAATAGTTATGAGAATTGTATGTATAGGCAAATTTTGGTGTCATGCAGTACTGTAGATTTTTACGTTAAGTAGACCTAATTATGTTACCATACAGTTTTAAGTTCATAAAATTGATTTTAATGTTGTGAAGTTTATGTTTAACAATTGTGTGCATGAATTAAGATTTAAACTAACTTAGAGGATCCAGCATAAGTTATTATTCTATTTTTATTTCTCACATAGGATTATGGTGAACCTTTTGACAAGTCTTATGGGTTACTTCAAGGTATGATTTTTTTATCGTACGTTTAAATGGTGAATTTTATTGGTTTTCAAGTAGCAAAACAAACAGGCTACTTGATTGATTTGTTACTTTACTTAAATTTATATTTGCAATTTTTAATCTAACGTTATGACATATACAAAATATTGCAAAGTCCCAAAAAGTAAAACATCAAACATCACCAGTTAGTGTTTTAATTTTTTTAGAAATTACCTTTCACATAATTAATTTTAATATTTAATCCATGTCTAAAATTAATTAATTGAAATGTCTAATCCATGTTTAAAAAATATTATTTCCGTAGTGGATGGCTTTGCCTTCCTGTTGATAGGGACAGCCTTGTACAACCAGCTGATGGATGTTCCGTGCATGCCGTGGTGTACTAAAGATCCAGAATCTGATGTAAGTACTTGATGGCATTAAACTAATTTGACACAGTTTAAACTCCTAGTATAGAACATTTTAACATAGTGCAAACTCCTTGTAAAGAACATTTTAACATAGTGCAAACTCCTTGTAAAGAACATTTTAGTATAGTGCAAACTCCTGGTATAGAACATTTTAAAATGTAACCAACTCATGGCAATTCAAAAGACACTGTAATGTAAAACAAACTCCTAGCATTCAGCAAGCGAATAGTCAATTCTCAAAACTCAGCTAATGGCAAAAAAACCTTAACAAAAATTTTATCAGTAAAAGATTTTAAACCTGATAGAATCTATAATTACATCTTGTGAATCTTGTTAAATAACATTTAACAAGAACATACCAAGTTTTGAAAAAAAAACAATTAAAAGTGCTAAGAATAATGTATCCAAAATATTTAAAAATTGAGGAACACCAAATAAGTAAGTAAGATGAGTAGTATTACTACAAGCTAAAAAGACTTATCTACAATTTAGAGGTTGTTGATAATTTTAAACTATTAAAAAATGTACTAAAAAAGTATTGAAGAAAACAATCTCTAACCATTAAATCCCTGACCTACTTTTTGCCCCCTATTCCATTATTTAATGATTAACTCTCTCTGAGCTGAAAATTAAAATTGTACACAACTGGGCATGAGTGATGGGAAAATAATGCCCAACTGGGCTGTAAGGGTTAATTTACTATTAAAAATAATTTTTGGTGTAGAACAATAAGATTCATTAAGTCAAACTTGAACACTTTGTTGGTTATTGCTTTCATACAACAAAACTTGAATTTGATTTAAGTACTCTTAAGTACAATCATAAACAATCAAGAACTACATTCCTCGTGTCATTGACTTTATCATTTTCAACCTCCCAAGCAGGACTGCATTTATAATTCTAGCATGAGGATACAAGAGTACTTACCCTTGTTCGTCTCGCTAATGTGGATTTATCTTACACCTCTTTGCCAGGTGTAGTTAATATCATTGCCATTTTCTGGAACTTTCTCCATGGGAGAGTCAGGCTCTTAGGTGGAAGCAATTTGGGACTGACAAAAACACTCTCTGTCAAATCACAGTACATACAACTCATGTCCCTTAACTCTGTTCATTTGGAATTATAGTTATCTTGTGGGTTATCTAACCTGGTGTGTTACTATAATTAGACTGTCAGAATTTAATTCAAAATACTTAGATTTGTCAAGCATCCAGCATGATGTCTGTTATTTTCCATCTAGACTGTTAAGATCTTAATGAGATTACAAAGTAAACTGCTTTTTTTTTTCCTTAAAGTATTTAAAATTACCTTCACTTTTTTTAATTGTCTTAAGCCTGTCAGTTTTTATGTGAACCAGCAGAATGCAAGTCTAGTGCCTGATAAACATGTCATCATTTAAACCAATTCTGTTTAGAGATTAATGCCTGAGTTATTTTTATTTCAGGAAATCCCCACAGCAGTTGGGCCATCAATACAGAACGTTGATGACTATGAAGAGTCCTATAGCTCAATGGCTGATGAAAACTCTACCTTGGTGAAAAAAGGACAGAAACCTACAGTCTACTCATAAATCTGCTCCATTATTTTAAAGTTGTTTTTTTTTTTTGTAGTTAGTTATTGTTTTTTTTTCTTACATTCCTTGTAGCTTATGTTGTATAGGCTTGTAAGAGGTTTATTTATAATGCTGCTTAGTCTTGAATGTGATTTAGAGATGTAGCGAGGGGGGGGGGGGTACATATGTCCCCAGGCGCCAACCTTATGGGGCGCTTAAATGGGTTGGAAAAAAAATGTAAAGCTTGGGGGGGGGGGGGGGGGGGGTGCAAATCGAAAATCGAAAGTTTGTCCCCGGGTGCCGGGAAGGGTCGCTACGCCTCTGATATGATTTATTATGTACGGTGTTTAATCTTGTACGTGAGTCTGTCCTGTCATTGTGTATGTGAATATATCAATCAAAATGACACCACAAGAATGTGGCTGATCTACAACATGCAGTATAGGTGTGGTGTTTTTTTTTTTTTTTTTATGTTACCTTTTCAGTTGGCCAAAACTAACACTGAACTGAATTTGTACCTGAGCAATGGTCACCACCTTTACGCTATGTCAAGTCATCCCTACACTACCTCATATTACCATCTTTAATCCACATTACGTCACCTCAATGGGATGGCATGGCCTAGCGGTAGAGTGCTAGACTGCTAACCCGAAAGTTTCGAGTTTGAATTCGGGTTTAAGTCAGTAGAATGTACCTGAGTCCACCCAGCTCTATTGGGTACCTAACTCATGTTAGGGAAAGTAAAAGGCGGCTGGACAGAATGCTGACCTAATTATCCCTTCATATGCTGAGGTCAAAGAAACAGGTGAACTCTACTTCACTTGTCCTGTAGACTATCAGGTTTGAAAAAGGGAACTTGGCTTGTCTTACTTAATGGTGTAGTCAGGTGCTGCCTTTTCATTAGCTACACTGTTGGAAAGAATCTAATTATAAACTGTCACATGACTACCACCAATCCCATATGGACCGGGTATGTTTCCCATAAAATTTGGCGCAAAAATAATTATTGCTCAGCAGACATTTCTACAGCTCTCCAAATGTTGTTGTTTTTTTCTGGAATATGACACTACACATCTTTTATTTACCCCCCTCCCCCTTCTTATAATTAACCACCTTTCAGGTACCACTTCCCCACTCATAATAACCCACCTGTTAATAACCCTCTCCTCCCTCATAATTTCCTACCTGACATTTACCCCCCCCCCCCCCCTAAATCTTCATATTTACCCACTTGCTAATTAACCACCTCCCCTCTCATAACTACCCACCTGTCAATTACCCCCCCCCCCCTCCCTCCTCCATCATATTTATCCATCTGTAATATACCCCCCTCCCACCTCATTTATCTACCTTTCTTTCAATATTCTCCCTCCTCAAAATGTGAGTAGCCAACATCCTCTTCCCCTCCCCCCCCCCTTCCTGTTCACCAATACTGCAGTATGAATGCTAGCTGGATTATGTGTAGGTGTGGATGTTGATATTAATTAACCAGCTATTGCAATGTTTGGTGCATTAATTAATTATTTCCGAGCAGCGCTGGGCAAAATGTAACTAGCAAAAACTATTTTCTGTTATAAAAAAAATAAGTTTTTTTTCTTAAAATAATAAAAGGTTTGAGAGTGGTATGTACAAAAAATATATTGTCTGCATTTTCAGTTTTTTTATTTAAAATTGCATGTTTATATTGTTAAAATTTTAAAATAACAAAATTATAATTTTTGTTGCTTGCTACACAAATATTTGCATGTTAAAATATCATTGAACATTTAGTTCCACAGAATATTACCTTACATAATACATAGACTGTGAAGACATTACACACAGTGTTGTGTAATTTTAGGTCACTGTTGCGCCCAAAACACATGGGGGCAAATGAAGTAGAGTTTATCTGTTTCAATGGTCTCTGCATACAAGGGAATAATGTGGTCAGCACTATACCCAGCCATCTTGTTTTCCCTAACACGTGTTAGGTACCTATTAGAGCTGGATATACTCACTGATGTCCTACAGCCTTGAGCTCGGGATGCGAACTCAAGACTTTTGGGTTCGCAGTCATAAGCTCTACCATTCGGCCACACGGTTCCTTTCATTTAAATAATTCTCTTTTAACATTTTTCAACCTTCTGTCATGCATCTATTTCAGAATTAATTTGAAATCATTGACACAGTATCATCTAGCCAAATATTAATTCAAAATATTTTACAATTGTGTACATAATAATAAACATTGTCTCATTGCTGTTTTTAAAAATCCATGTTTTTAATGTATTGATAGTCTTTATACTATAAATAAACCAAGCTAGTCTTTCAGCTTTTGGCATACAAATATTGCCTTGTTTTTCCTTGTATTTATGAATATTGAAAGCACAATAGTTATATAATTTTTCTTATTTGAATTCATGGTTAGTTAGAAGCAATTTTTTTACATGTACAGCCCCTTATAATTCGACTGCTTCACTTGTATGCCTGCTGTTGAGATATTGAAAAAAATAAAATAAGCAAAAATATTTTTAGAAATGTTACCTTGATCATTTGGGTTATATTGTGTTTTGAAAAGACTTTTTCGTAAATTTTAAATAAAAACTGTTCAATAGACTTTACCACAAGATAGGTTAATGTTTTAGAGAATGAACAGTGGTTTTAATCAAATTTTTAAAATTGCGATGTGGGTTGGGGAAGAGAGAGGATGAGGTGTATGTATAGTTATGATTTTTTTACGCTATGTGGGAGGGGGCATCTGAAAGGGTGAATAAGGCCTCAGAAATTCGATCACCACCTCATTAGTCACCACCTGAACAATGTTACCCCCGGGGTAACTGTGACTGGTCAGATTGTGGCATGGTGCCAGGCAGGGTTTCTTTCAGAAATTATTTGGGGGGGGGTGGGGTGGGGGGGCGTGCGGATTAAGGTAAATATTTTCTTTATGAAATATACATTTTTGTGTCTCATCCAAGGGGGAGGGGGGGGGGTGGACGTGCTTCGGGGAGGCACTAACACCCCCCCCCCCACCCCCTGGAGAGATTTCTGAAATAAAATCTGATGCCAGTACCAGGTATGAATGTAATGTTATTTCTGCTTGTATGGGTGGCGTAGCGAGGTCGGGTGTTACCCGGTGCGGCACTTAATGGTGTCACCCCCAGAGGCGTAGCGACCCTTCCCGGGGACAAACTTTCGATTTGCACCCCCCCCCCACCCTCAAGTTTTTCTCTATATATTTTACTATTTTTTGCCTTGGTGTCACCCCCCTAAATGGTGTCACCCGGTGCGGTCCGCACCCCCTCGCTGCGCCTCTGCTGCTTGTATGGGTCGCGGCTTAAAAGACTGTCTGACTTGATTCACATTTTAAAGGGCAACAAAATGTTCTGCTGGGAGGATTGGGGTTATCCGTACAAAAAAAGATTTTTTTTTAACAAATGCTTAATCCCAACCATTCCAATTTTATAATGCACCGTGATCACAAATATCTTACAAACACATAAAGTCATTATGTTATTTTTAAATAAACGAGTTTAATCAATTTTTTTTCGTTCCATATTTTAAAACGTAAACTACATCATAATTTTACCCCCGCTCAATCAGCATAGCACCACACAAATCTGACCCCACCTCCATCATCCTACCCCTTATGAACTTTCAGCCCATGCAACCTGGGTTGTGACCCCCCCCCCCCCCCCCACCCACAGTAATCTGAATCCACCCCTAGGTTTCGGCAGTAGTTGAGTCAGATTTAATTTTTTTTTCCCGAGGCTCCCGATGATGCAACGAACTTGACTCACTAGAGTCATGTCGTACTTGACTCACTCAAGTCATGTGACACACCTTGGTCACATGACTCAACACACGCTCGTCACGTCCAGGGAACCGAAGTACTCAGCGGTTCTCAATCACTTAGGGGTCGTGCGCATGTTATACAGCACTAGAGTAGAGTCCTTTAGACCCACTCCTATAGGGGAGCCGAAGTAGTCAGCGGTTCTCAAACATTTAGGGGTAGCACGTAAGTCTACCGCCCCCAGAACGAAATGGAATGTATATAGAAAATATATACTTTTAACAGTCTCCGCCCCCTCCCTCCGAAAATTTTAGTCCGCCCCCCGAAAATTTCAAGTGCCCCCCCCCCCCCCCCTCCGGAGAAAAAAGTCTGGAAGAAACACGGCACTAGAATATAGACATTTAGACCCACCCCTGTAGTGGTGGAGCCAAGGTACTCAGTGGTTCTCAAATACGTAAGGGTCGTGCGCGCGTTATACACGACAATAGACATTTAGACCCACCCCTGTAGAGGAGCCGAGGTACTCAGGGGTTCTCAATCCCTTACGGGTCGTGCTGATATTCAGAGTTTCTCCCAGTCATCTCTTCGGGGGTGGGGGGGGGGGCGCTCTGTTCCCCCCCCCCCCCCTTCCCGAAGAAAGTCTACCACCCCCACCTCCCTAATTCGGAAAGTTCGGGGCGCTTTTTACCAGTCACTTCACCTCTTTATTTTGGTGTCACATAATTGATGTAAAAAAACTATTAAACATCTAATTTTAATGTTGATTTAGTCATCGCTCCAGCGCCATTTTTGTTTTTAATAGGGTTTGTAAGTCTCATTTTCTCTGACTTTGCCCCCCCCCCCCCGAAATTTTTTACCGCCCCCCCCCCCCTCGAACGAAATGAAATTTATATAATTTATATAGAAAATATATACTTTTAACAGTGTCCGCCCCCCCCCCCCCCCGAAAATTTCAAGTGCCCCCCGGAGAAAAAAGTCTGGAAGAAACACTGGGGTTGGGGGGGGGGGGTTCAACTTCATTCACCACTGACCGCTCACTTAAGGTCAATTATCCAACCCAGTGTATACCTAGGTGTGACATTAATGTCGCTCTACACAATTGTGGTGGCGAGGTGTGTGTAGGGGGGGGGGGGATAACCAACTCAGAGTGAACATAGCTTCAGTTTTTAGATGACTGTTCTAAACATACATATATATTACACAAATATATATTACACAAATATATATTACAGAAACAGATTTAAATAAGTAGCAGTGGTATTATGACAATTTTTTTTTACAGAGGGGTTCATGGGGGAGGGGGGTTGTAACTGTTTCATATAATTTGTAATCTTAATCACTATCGCCCAAACTGTAAGAAAACTACTACTTCATCGTAATGACGTTGTTGACCTTGTCAAAATGTCCCCACCACTAAGCAGTTTGCTCATAAGTAAATTTTAAAAAAGGTGCCACATCAGTTGTATTTGTTTCTGTATTGTAATTTTTTTTAAAATT